TCACTTCACGCATCAACAACGTCACTCGGTCTGCCTATTTCCTTCTCCGAAATATTAACCGTCTCCGCCCTTCTCTCACACCCCGCTCCACAGCTATCCTTGTTCACAGTCTTGTGACTTCTCGGATTGACTACTGCACCTCCCTTCTTTATGGCCTCCCCAACAAATCTCTCCAGAAGCTGCAATTGGTCCAGAACTCAGCTGCCCGTGTCATCACTCAAACCTCCTCCTATAACCACATCACTCCAGTCCTGCAGCAGCTCCACTGGCTCCCAGTTAAATAATGCATCATATTCAAACTTCTTCTTCTCACTTTCAAAGCTCTCCACAACCTTGCCCCTCCGTACCTATCTGACCTCCTACACATCTCCATCCCCTCTCGCTCTCTCAGATCCTCCTCTTCACTACACCTCCATGTACCCTCTGCCCGCCTCTCCACCATGAGGAGCAGGGCCTTTACCTGCTCTGCCCCTCATCTCTGGATCTCTCTACCCCCTGACGTACTAAACACCACCTCTCTTTCTCTATTCAAGACTGCTCTGAAAACACCTCTTTAGACTCGCTTATCCTTAACTTTGCTGTATGTATTTTATATTCTTTATGTAATTTATTTATGTTGATCTTTGCACTGTGCTTGTTGTTTGTTTTAACACAATCTTTCTGATATGTTTCTTACTGTAAAGTGTCCTTGGGTGTCCTGAAAGGTGCTTTTTAAATAAAATGATTATTATTATTATTACAACAGTATCAAACACTACTGCAGCACCACATGGTACTACAGTATAAAATACTACTGCAGTACCTCATAGTACTACAGTATCAAATAAATGGTAAATGGTAAATGGACTGTACTTATATAGCACCTTTCTATCTGATCAAGACACTCAAAGCGCTTTACACAACAATCTGTGTCCTCATTTACCCATTCACACAGCATTCTACTAGATTTCTACAAAGCTAATTGAACAAGTCATTCTAAAGAGACTAATCAGTGCACATTCATACACTGATGGGACACACATTGGAGGCTATGAGGGGTTTAGTGTCTTGCCCAGGGACACTTCGGCATGTGACTACTGGTGGATTCGAACCCCCAACTCCTGCATTGGAGGATGACTGCTCTAACCACTCAGCCACAGTTGCCCACCATACAACTGTAACACCACATAATACTACAGTATCAAATACTACTGCAGCCCCGCAGAGTACTACAGTATCATATACTACTGCAGCACCCCATAGTACTACAGTATAAAATACTACTGTAGCAACACATATTACTACAGTATCAAATACTACTGCAGCACCACATAGTGCTACAGTATCAAATACTACTGCAGTACCTAATAGTACTACAGTATCAAATATTACTGCAGCATTACATAGTACTACGGTATCAAATATGAATGTAGCACCACATAGTACTACAGTATCAAATACTACTGCAGCTCCAGATAGAACTATAGTATCAAATACTAATGAAGTATCACATAGTACTATAGTATGCAATACTACTGCAGGATCACATAGTACTACAGTATCATATAGTACTGCCAGATCACATCGTACTGCAGTATTAAATATTACTGCAGCATCACATAGTACTACAGTATCCAATACTACTGCAGCACCACATAGTACTAAAGTATCAAAAACTAATTTGACATTTGAGCTTTTGACACTGTGGATCAGAACATCTTGTGTCATAAACTCTCAGAAATTGGTTTCTCAGAACACACCATTGGTTGGTTCTCTAACTATCTTTCAGACCGGAGGCAATGTGTTCAACATAATGGTACTTCCTCCAGTTATTTAACAGTCAACAATGGTGTACCACAAGGCTCAGTCTTAGGACCCACCCTCTTTACAATCTACATACATAATGTAGGTAAAAACATCCCTAATGCATCCATACATTTCTATGCTGATGTCACAGTTGTTTATTGTCGAGCTAAAACAGTTGCTAAGGCTTTCCAGCTTTTGAATTCTGCATTCAACATCCTCCAGACAGATTTGTTCCGTCTCAAACTTGTCCTAAATGCCGACAAAACCAAAGGGATGCTTTTTTCAAATAGGAAGTTGGTCCCAGCAGTTCTTCCTCCGATTTTATCCTCAAATGGTGTCCCCATTGAGTTTGTTGATTCCTATAAATATTTGGGTATCTTGGTCGACTCACATCTTTCTTTTAAGCTCCATGTGGAAAACTTGGTAAAGAAACTGAAAGTTAAACTGGGTTTCTTTTTCAGAAACAAATCCTGTCTAACCCTGAATGCTAGAAAACTCCTTGTATCTGTGACTTTCCTTCCCTCCATTGATTATGATGACATTATTCACATGAACGCTCCTACAAGAACCCTGCAGATGTTGGATGCCGTCTATCATGGTGCACTAAGATTCATAACTGGTTGTGATTATCGTACCCACCACTGCACCCAGTATTCACTGGTTAACTGGACATCATTAACTTCACGCAGACTCTCTCACTGGTACATTTTCATCTTTAAATCACTTCCTGGTCTGCTGCCTTCATACATCTCCTCCTACATGTCTCTGTGTGAGTGCAGCTACAGCGTGCGCTCTCAGGACATCATTACCTGCAGTGTTCCCTCAGTGAGGACTGAACTAGGCAAAAGGACCTTCTCCTACTCTGCTCCTGTTTCCTGGAATATCTTACAAAAAGATTGGAAGCTCTCGACCTTGACCTCTCTAAGTGGCTTTAAGAATCTGTTGGACTCCTGGCAGGGACCAATGCAGACATGTTCCTGTTTTTAGTTTTCTACATTCACCTTAGAATCTAGCTGTTTTATTTATTTATTTATTTATTTATTTTTGTTACCTTTTCCTTTTAGCCATCCTATTTGTAAAAAAAAAAAAAAACCTGCAGTATGACTTTTTATAATTGTTTATTGTTGTTGCTGTTGTCCATTGTTGTCATCTTTCTTTGTTGAAATCAGGTCTCTCTTATAAATGAGTCCTCGAGGCTCAATGGGATTTACCTGTATAAATAAAGGTTGATTGATTGATTGACTAATGAAGTATCACATAGTACTATAGTATGCAATACTACTGCAGGATCACATAGTAGGGAGTTTTTCCTTTCCACTGTTGCCATTGTGCTTGCTCAGGATGGGAGACTGCAACGAAGCCAAGATTCATCTTGTCTGCTGGATTCCTTAGATAGAGAACTTTACTTATTTGCTTTTATGTGAATGTTCCTGTAAAGTCCCTGAGACAACTTTGTTGTGATTTGGCGCTTTATAAATAAACTGAATTGAATTGAATTGAATAGTACTACAGTGGCATATAGTACTGCAGGGTCACATAGTACTACAGTATTAAATATTACTGCAGCATCGCATAGTACTACAATATCAAACACTACTGCAGCACCACATAGTACTACAATATAAAATACTACTGGAGCATTACATAGTACTACAGTGTCAAATACTACTGCAGCACCATAAAGAACTTCAATATCAAATACTACTGCAGCTTCACATAGTATTGTTGTATCAAATACTACTGCAGCATCATATAGTACTACAGTATCAAATGCTTAAGCAGAACAACATAGTACTATAGTATCAAATACTACTACATCATTACATAGTACTATAGTATCAAATACTACTGAAGTATCATGTAGTACTATTGTATCAAATACTACTGCAATAACACATTGTACTACATTATCAAATACTACTGGAGTACCACATAGTGTGTTTTAGTGTCTAGTTGTTCTGACACCTTTGTAGATTATGCAGTGTGTATTAGTACTCCAGAGTCAGGTGGTACTGCAGTGTGTATTAGTAATCCAGAATTTGGTGGTACTGCAGTGTGTATTAGTACTCAAGAGTCCAGTTTTACTGCAGTGTGTATTAGGTTGTCAGAGTCCAGTGGTACTGCAGTGTGTATTAGTAATCCAGAGTTTGATGGTACTGTAGTGTCTTAGTAGTCCAGAGTCTGGCAGTACTACAGCTTGTATTAGTACTCCTCTGTCTGGTGGTACTGCAGTGTGTATTAGTACTCCAGAGTTCAGTGGTACTGCAGTATGTATTAGTACTCCAGAGTCCAGTGGTACTGCAGTGTGTATTAGTACTCCACTGTCCAGTGGTACTGCAGTGTGTATTAATACTCCAGAGTTCGGTGGTACTGCAGTGTGTATTAGTACTCAAGAGTCCGATTTTACTGCAGTGTGTATTAGTTCGTCAGAGTCCGGTGGTACTACAGTGTGTATTAGTAATCCAGAGTGAGATGGTACTGCAGTGTCTATTAGTAGTCCAGAGTCTGACAGTACTGTAGCTTGTTTTAGTACTCCCCTGTCCGATGGTACTGCAGTGTGTATTAGTACTCTCGAGTCAAGTGGTACCGCAGTGTGTATTAGTACTCAAGAGTTCAGTGGTACTGCAGTGGGTATTAGTACACTCGAGTCAAGTTGTACCGCAGTGTGTATTAGTACTCCATAGTCCGGTGGTACTGCAGTGTTTATTAATACTCCAGAGTTTGGTGGTACTGCAGTGTGTATTAGTACCTCAGAGTTCGGTGATACTGCAGTGTGTATTAATACTCCAGAGTTCGGTGGTACTGCAATTTATATTAATACTCCAATTCAATTCAGTTTATTTATGTAGCTCCATATCACAACACAGTTGTCTCAGGGCACTTTACAGGAACATTCATATACATAGAAAAGGCAATTAGTAAAGTTCTCTATTTAAGGAAGCAGCATAAAAGTTGAATCTTCACTTCATCACAGTCTCCCATCCTGAGCAAGCACAATAGACAGTGGAGAGGAAAAACTCCCTTTTAACAGGAAGAAACCTCCAGCAGAACCAGGCTCAGGACAAGCCGCCATCTGCTTTGACCGGCTGGGCTAGAGAAGTTCGGTGGTACTGCAGTGTGTATTAGTAACTCTGAGTTTGGTGGTACTGCAGTACTGTATGTATTAGTACATCAGAGTCTGGTGGTTCTGACCCTGTGTTTTTGGTTTCCTTTAGCTCACAGAGCAGCCCATGGGCTCGGCTCCTCGACCAATCAACAGCCAGCTGAACTGTTCTCGTCTGGAGATGCTGAACCTCAGTGTGGATCCACGAGCGTTTGCTGCTGCCATCACCGACTGTCTGTGGCCGTTCACGGCAGACAAACGCTGGAGACAGACTGTTTTCCACTGAGATGGGGAGACAGAGACACAGAGCTTTACTCTAAAGAAGAGGGTGTCTATAGTTCTGCATGCTCCATGTTCTTTCTGCAGGTTCCTTCTCTGACCTTTAACCCTAACTTTAATTCCAGCCATGATCTCCTACTTGGATCAGAATGTGAGCTTCAGGTTTCTGATTAGTTTGGATTTAAATGAGTTAGAGACTGTTTGTGGAGAATCAACAGAAAAAACGTTAATATAAGTTTAGCTCTACAATGTCATGAAGATGACTGTTTGTGTGCTTCTGCTGTTTCCTGTAACAAAAATAAAATGTTTGTTATTGAAGTGATTAAATGTTCTCTGTTTTGAGGCTTGGAGCTGAAAAACGTTTAGTTTGACTGACACAACCTCTGGTCTTAGATCTAGTAAGAACATCTTAACAGTCTTCTGGTCCTGGAAACGCCTTTAATGGTTTCTTGAATGGATTTATGAATGCAGGAGGTCGGTCTCCCCCGATGGAGGCTGAGCAGGAAGGCTTGAGGACCAGAGCTCAGCTGGACCGCTTTCTGCAGTCTTCACCTGGTCTGCAGAGGGCTTAAGAGTCCAGGGGTGTCAGCCACAGAGACTCCACTTCCTTACTCATGCAGATCAGCAGGACCGGAGCTCATCCTTTTGTCCAACTCCTTGTCCAACCCTTCCCAACTCTGTCTTGACCCACCAGGAACGGTCTGAGGTCTGAGCCTGAAAATAACAGTTCACTGGGGGGAAGGAAGGTTATAGAACTCTTGTGATCTAGTCCCTCTAGTTTCCTGTCCCTGGTTCTGTGGCCCACTGTCCTGAATCTATTTCTGGTCCTCTGGTACACTGTCCTGCATGTGTCCCTGGTCCTCTGGTCCACTGTCCTGAATCTGTCCCTGGTCCTCTGGCCCACTGTCCTAAATATTTCCCTTGTCCTCTGGCCCACTGTCCTAAATTTGTCACTAGTCCTCTGGTTCACTCTTCTGCATGTGTCGCTGGCCCACTGATCCACTGTCCTGAATCTGTCCCTGATCCTCTGGCCCACTGTCCTGAATCTGTCCGTTGGTCCACTGTCCTGCATGTATCCCTGGACCTCTGGTCCACTGTCCTGAATCTGTCCCTGGTTTTCTGGCCCACTGTCCTGAATATGTCCCTGGTCCATTGGTCCACTGTCCTGCATGTGTCACTGGTCCTCTGGTCCACTGTCCTGAATCTGTCCCTGGTCCTCTGGTCCACTGTCCTGAATCTGTCCCTGGTCCTATGGCCCACTGTACTGAATCTGTCCCTGGTCCTCTGATCCACTGTCCTGCATGTGTTCCTTGTCCTCTGGTCCACTGTCCTGAATCTGTCCCTGGTCCTTTGGCAACTGTCTTGAATCTGTCCCTAGTCCTCTGGTCCACTGTCCTGCATGTGTCCCTCGTCCTCTGGTCTACTTTCCTGCATTTGTTCCTGCTCCTCTGGTCCGCTGTCCTAAATATGTCCCTGGTCCTCTGGTCCACTGTCCTGCATGCGTCCCTGGTCCTCTGGTCCACTGTCCTGTATCCCAGATAGCAAATTTCGGACTCTGGGCCGGATCTGTTCTGGCTGTAGCATATGCTCAGGAACGGATCCACAAAACGGACCCGGATCAGAGTCCTCTTGCGCACTGGAACAGATCTGGAACAGATAAGGATCACAGATCCAGATTGGATCTGGCCAGGTCCCTATCCGAATACACTCATTAAGTGCCACATCCGGCCCAGATCTGTTTTGGACCCGTTCATAGAGCACATCGTCCGACCCAGATCCAGTTATCATCCGGCCTGGATCCGGTTTTGACCTATTTATGATACTCGTCTCGGATCAAATCCTACCAGTTTAACCTTAAACACGTGAAAATTATTTGTGAAGCTACAAAAAAACTAATATTGGGTTATTGTGAGTAAATTTACAGTTTTGACACTGCACAGTGGTGCAGGTGGTAGCACTGTTGCAGGTGTTAGAATCCCAGCCAGGGGTCTTTCTGCATGTGGTTTGCATGTTCTCCCTGTACTCTGTAAACCAAAATAAGTTTCCAAAACTCAAAAAATGTGAGACAATCAATTGTCACAAAATTTTGAATTTTCAGTATAGAAATCTCAAAAATGTTGACTTTGTATTAATCAAAGCACATGCAGCAAAACTTAAAATCTGAAACCATTGATTGCCTTAAATACATCGAATAGAACAAACTTGACATTACCAAGTTATGAATGGTTGAATGAATGGTTGGCTGTTCAAGATGGCGCCGGTGTGTAGGGCTTTCCGTCCCTCACTTCTCGGTTTTCCTTCTATTTTTGTTATTTTTACAATGCTTTGTGCAGTGTACCGAATCATATTTGCAGTATGATCGTTGGTCACTTTTGGAGCTCCGTAGATTTGCTGAAATACCTGCAGAGTTTTTGTATAGTGGTCAGCACTCTCCACCAGTTCTATCCGGGATTTCTGCATTCCTTCTACGCGACCCTGGCCTTTCTCCCTGGAGGAAATGTCGCAGATGTCGTGGGAAGCATGCAGGGTTTTGGTGAAACTGGGGCACCGTGTGAATTATTTTGTCAAGAGTTATGGGGCTCGCTCTGGATCTGATCATTGCCTCTCTGACTCGTGGCGCTTCAGGGGCCCTGCTGCTGGCCAGCTACCCATGCGCTCAGTCCATGTAAACAACTGGAGTTGTTTACCTGTGCGCGGTACAAGCTGACCAGGAGGTGCTGTTATTCAAAATCTGCGGCCGCTGGCACGCGCTCCCCCCACCGCAGCTGTGTCTGCGTTGGACCCTATCAGGATGTGTTTGATCAACACAAGATCTGTTTCCAACAAGACTTTTGTCCTCAATTACTTTTTTAAAAGACGAACAGTTGGATTTTCTCTGCGTCACAGAAACTTGGATGTCTGTTGGTGAGTCCAGCGCCTTGGTGGACTTATTACCTCTGGACTGTCTGTGTTTTTTGCCCCGTGGCCATCAGGCTGGCACAGTGGTGGATTATGAACGGTCTTTAAACCAAACTTTGCCTGTAAACAGTTGGCCATTCCGGTTTCCTGCTCCAACTTTGAGCTGAGCATCTTTGAACTCGGCCGTTCTCCTTCGGTTCTGTACGTACTGGTCTACCACCCCCCCTCGATCCAAGGAGTTCATAAGTGAATTCTCTGATTTTTTGGCTGAAATCACACTGAGATGCGATCACGTTTTAATCATTGGCGACTTTAATATTCATGTCTGTTGTCAGGAGAAGCCTTAAGTAAAGGACTTTCTAGATTTATTGGACTCTTTTAATTTATCTCAGCAGGTAAACAGTCCCACTCAAGAACACGGACACACACTGGACCTCGTGTTAACACGTGATGTCTATGTGTGTAATTTGGAAATTGGCGACAATGTTTTTTCAGACCACATGCCTATTTTGTTTGAATTCAACCCCCCTGTCCTACTGCTAAGCTGTGCGCTCCTGCACGTACCATACACGCCATTAATTCTTTCACTGCTGCTCGTTTCACTGAAGTTTTTAACTCTGAAAGGATCGAACAGCTCTCGGTGTCTCTTACCACCAAGGAACTAACCTCTCAGTTCAACTCTGTCTGTTTAAATGTTCTGGACCGTGTTGCTCCCGTTAAAATCAGAAAAATGAAACTTGGATCAGAACCGTGGCTGAATGATGTCACTCAAACCGTTAGACAGCAGTGTAAGAGAGCAGAGCGAAGGTGGAGGAAAGACAGGCTGCAGGTTTCTTTTCAAACATTACGGGAGAATTGGCGTCATTATCAGAAAGCAGTTAAAGATGCTAAATCTAAATTCTTCTCTGATATAATTGTCTCCAACTCTCACAACCCCCCCACCCCCCCCCCCCCCGAGTTCTTTTTTCCACCCTGAACGCAGTTCTACACCTCAGTAAACCTTCACCTCTGGAAGCCTCGACTGAACTGTGTGAGAACTTCCTCGATTTCTTTTTAGAAAAAGTTGTGAACACCCGGGCACTCATTTCTCCACCAGCTCACGATCCTTCCTTCCCATCTCAATGTGCAGCTGTATTTGACCATTTTGAGCCAATCTCTCTGTCTTCTCTGAAGCAAGTAATGTGCAGCACAAAGCCATCTGGTTCCCCCTTTGACGTTGTCCCTCCTCGACTCCTAAAGGAAGTTCTTCCTATTTAGGGCCCCTCTATTCTCGCTATTGTGAATAGCAGTTTGTCCTCAGGTGTGGTGCCAAAAACTTTTAAACATGCTGCTGTCCATCCTCTCCTGAAAAAAACCCAACCTTGACCCCTCAGTCGTGTCCAACTTCAGGCCTGTCTCCAGATTCCATTTGCCTCTAAACTACTGGAAAAAAAATAGTTGAGTCTCAGTTGAAATGTTTCTTGGAGGATTGCGCTATCCTAGAATTATTCCAATCTGGCTTCAAATCTCTCCACAGTACTGAAACTGCTCTACTGAGGGTTTTTAACGACATTTTCCTAGCCACAGATGCAGGTGATTCTGTGCTGCTTGTCCTATTGGACCTTACATCTGCTTTCGACACCATCGACCATGGGATCCTCATTTCTAGGCTGGAGCGGTGGGTGGGCATCACAGGGTCAGCCTTCATTTGGTTTAGGTCCTACCTCTCTGACAGAACCTTTTGTGTCAACATCAAAGATTTTAGTTCAGCATTGGCAGCGGTTCAATGGGGGGGTACTGCAGGGGTCCATCCTCGGTCCCCTTCTCTTTTCTTTATACCTGCTGCCACTAGGTGCTATTTTCTGCAAACACAACATACCCTTTCATTTCTACGTCAATGACTGTCAGATTTACTTCCTCATGGGGCACAGTGGTACACGCTCTATTCAACCTCTTCTTGACTGCCTGGCTGACATCTGGGACTGGATGGCTTTAAACTTCTTAAGTTTCAATGAGAAAAAGTCTGAGGGGCCGTTTACACAGCACATATTTGGAGTGAAACTGCAGCTTTCTCTCTGCGGTTCTGCTGTTCATTTACATGACACCAGTGGTCCCCCTCTTTGAATCCAGATGTTTCTGAACCCACCTTCCAGCGTGGAGGTTTTTCTCTGACCCCCTGCTGATGATTTAAACATCTCCCACTGAGGCTTTGTGTTAAACCACATGCACATGCACACGGGCGGACAGACG